TCTGTGTTTTGGTTTCAGGAGGAACTTTGCTATCTTTACCTCTGAAATTTCTTTCTTCCTGAAGCTTTGAAGGCTCTGGTGTTTTACTTTCATTACCAACTTTATTTTGAATGACATCTTTCTTGTCTATATCATGATCAACAGATGACACATGAAGGTGGTTTTCCTTCATCTCCCCATTGTTTTGATGATTTATGGAGTCAGCCTCATAAGCAGACCCACTGAAATGTTCAGTGTCTCCTTGCATCTCATCCTTGTTTTCTTCATTCATTTCTACCAGTGTATTATTAGATGGGCTCTTCACTAATGACCCATCATCAGAGGTAGTGTCGGTGGATGAGTCATCTTCGTCTTCCACTAAAGTGTTACTGGAAGGGCTTTCGTTAAGTACTCCATTGTCATCATCTTCCATCTCACTTTGCTGGACACTTTTAATAGTATCATTTGAATCTGATGGACCATCTTCCACTGAATGATCTTTTGTACTTTCATTCTTGGAGACCTTTTCTACTTTCATTTTACCATTGGGTTCTTTGGTATCTTCAGTAACTAAATCATGATCCTGATGTCCATTTTGCTCTCTTTCCAAATCACTGGAAGATTTTTCATAGGAAGACATTCGTCCATGTGTTCCCAATAACCCTCTGTACCTATCAGTTCTATTGCCTGTTGCAGGAGTCCTGCTGTCATTTCCTAACTTGTACCGATCCAACCTCATTTTTGGAAAACTAAACACACTTGCCGGGGGTGTTTTTCCTTTTGTTACTTCCCCTTTTCCACTTTCATCTATGGATGGGTCCATTTCTTTCGCAGAATGCAAATGAACATGATGGATTTCATCTTCATCATGAAGCTTCCTCTCCCCAGAAAATCCCGACTTGTGAATGTTAGCATACTTTTGGCTATCTGGCTGACCTACAGGTGGGCCCGTTTCTTCTGAAGAATGGCCCACATAGTTATCATGGAGTCTTCTCTCTCCAGAAAGTCCTGATTTGCGAATATAAGCATATCTTTGGTTGTTAGCAACCTTTCTTTTATCATCATCATCCTCATCGTCATCACTGTCATGTAACTGTTTATGCTGATTCAAAGGTTTGTCCATCTTCAAAGAAGTGGGGACTTTGGTGCCCTGTACCTCCTTTTGAACAGAATTACCTCCATGGTTTTCCTCTAAATGATTAGCAATTCTGACAGAATACTTTGAGGAATAACTTATAGCTGGATCCACATGAACATCGTAAGGGCTAGCACTGCCATTATTCAATGCCGAACAAGCAGCGGGTTCTTGATGGGTTGAAAAACCTGTGCTTTCTGTTGGACTAAGTTCCTGATGATCATCACCAGAATCATCACCAGAATCATCATCAAAATCATCTTTTTCATCATCAATTGCATGCTTTTCACTAAATGTGTCACTTGCTTTGATCACTCCTCTATTTTCACTATAAGTTTTATTAACTAGCTATTACAGAGTATCCGAACACTTTAAGAATGTGAAAAGATTTACGATACCAATAAATGTGTATAGTTTTGTTTCCACAATAAAATTAACTTTTATTTTCTAGTTTTTTAAATTTGAATTTTGTAAATCTTTTTTATTACACCCCCCCCCCCAAAAAAAAAATTTATAACCCATCTTCCTTAGGATATTGTAATTCCTGGTTATTGAGTTTCCTTACCCCCTTTTTATTGTGCCTGTATCTTCCGAGGAGGAATCGACATCATCATGTGTATTCTGGTTTTCACCAGAATCACCAGTTTCTAGTTTTTCTGGTGAAGTGTCGTACCTGACACCTTCAGGAGCACCGATATCTTTTGTGATGTCGGTATCGATAGAAATCTTATTCAATACAGTATCAGGTTTGGGACTGGATGTTCTAAACATAAGTACTAGTACGTTAAATGAATGAATGGACATCTTTAATAAAATGTAATTAATTTAATATTTTTTAGTCTTTCTTTGTAGCAGCATAGAAAAAAATGAATCAAAATTAAATTCATACTCCCTCTGATATACTTTTTCAGTATACATGTAGAATAACAAAATTGTTTGAACAAAAAATTGGAAAGTCTATGAATTATACCAATACTTTTTTTTAATTCAGTTTGTATTTTAATAAAATACACCCAATTTTAATCAGAAAAATTAAAACATACATTGTAAGTGCATCTAAAAACAATTTTCTATTCTGAAAAAAAATGATAGACGAAGACTTTTCCCAAACCATAAATGATGAACATCAAAGTAAAACCACATTACTGAGGACTATTGTGCATGCAGCAAGACAAAGTGACACCAAACTATTGTGCCCTAATCTATAAGTGTTCGTTAAAGACACTTCACTGTGAAAAGACTTACCTTATATGTTTGCTGGGTTCGAAACCTTTCCCCGGGGACACTTTTCCGAAGGTTGACATGATGGGTTTTCTGTAGGCCTCGAAGGCGCTGCCGTGGTCATCGCTGTCTTCGTGACTGCTGCGTTCTCGGTCACTGACGTCGTGGCTCATAACTTTATTTTGGTCTCTGAAGAAAAGTTTGCAATCTTCCTCTTTAAGACATTTGAAGAATATCATTTACTCCTATGATGGAGGCGTAGGAGTTGTGCTTAGTGAAAAGTCTTTGACATAATTTCAATTTTTTTTTTTTTTTTGAAATACCCAGCTTCATTTCAACGAATAGATCATCACTTTTACAGTCTGAGAGTTGTATACTATGAATTTATTGTCTTTTTTAAAATCATATTATACACAGAGATATATCAATTTGTGTTGGGTTCAGCTATTAAAAAAGTAGGAAAAAATTGACGTTCAACATATTGCACAAAACTGGAGTACAATGATAAGAAACTGATTTTATCAACTTATAAAATTTTATATCATTGAATATAGAAATTAATAGTTAAGAGAAGATTACAATGACTTCAATTTTTATATTTCAACTTTTTTAAAGTTTTAAATTAATTACTTTCAAACAACTCAAGGTAATTTACATGCATTAAAATATTCAAATTAAAGTATGTGCACATAATAAATAAGATTTTAATACATAATTTTTTTTTTTTTTTTATAAAATAAGCATGCTAAATTGAAGACAAGCAGAGAAAGTTATTTTTTTACATTTTGGGATGAGATTTTCAAAATATGTACAAAAAATCTGCCATCTCATTAGTAACCATGGTAACAAACTTTAATATTTTCATCTTAATTACTATTGTTTGCATTTTAGTGGAAGCATTTTTATTTTATGAAAATCATTTGCATCTTTGCCACATTCATCTTTGTCTTTGATACATATCTGCTATGCAGTATACACAATCTTATGGTGTATTAGGTAATATTTGTAAGTTAAATATATATCCAGTGCACGTTTTCCTGAATAATTATGCAAGAACTTTAATTATAATGAGAGAATCTATTTCTAGTAACAAAATAAACTACTAAATGCATGCCTCTAGACTAGTACCCTTTCCTGTGCTATAAGTACATGTAAAACTTTGTAAGGACCAATAATACTGGGTTAGTTATGAGTATTTTTTATAATATATACATGTTTGTAGAGTTTATGTCATACTGCAAGAAAACTTTTTTTTGTTAAGAAGTAAACTATTGATGAAATGACAAAACAATTATAGTATCATTTTGCCTTAATTTGGCAATGGATGTTAAAGGTGCTTAGACACAGATTTGAAGTTAATATTTACTCAAATTTTCTGTATAATTTCATGACTGATATGTTGCTATAGCATTTCATACGAAAATTTGATAAAAATCTTATTTTATCTGGAAGTTATTGAAACATCGAATTTCTGGACGCGTTTGATAGACACATCCTTGCACTTTCACAAATTTTATCTTTATCCTTATTACTTTAGAAAAGTAGCAATTTTGTTGTTTATTAATGAAAAATATTAAAACTATAATGCAGAAATTCCAGAGTAGAAATGTAGAAAGCAAAATCCTCTCACCAGTATTGTCAGTCCGTGCTCAGTGGTGTGTGCAGAGTTTAACAATGGAACACACCCGGTGAAACGTAAACATTAACAACAACAGAGCTCGTGCCCTAGCTGTTTACAAAAACAGTTTACGTTTCGCAGGTGTATTCAATTTGTTAAACTCTGTACACAACTACACAACACTGAGCACGGGCTGACAATACTTAAGTGAGTGGGTTTTGCTTTCGCACATTTTTACTCTGAATTTTCTGAATTATAGATGTAATGTTATTCATTAATACACAACAAAATTGCTACTTTTCTTAAGTATTAAGGATAGAGTTAAAATTTGTGAAAGTACAAGGATGTGTTAATCAAACGCCTCCCGAAATTCGTAGTTTCAATAATTTCCAGATTAAATAAGTTTTTAATTTTATTTTCGTGTGAAATGCTATAGCAACATATAAGTTGTGATATTATACAGAAAATTTGAGAAAATATAAACTTCAAATCTGTGTCTAAGCACCTTTAAGAAGTGTTGGGAGAGATATTAAATGATGCAATTTGTTCATAAAATAAATGTAATTATGAGAAATGTATTAATTGTATTGCAAGGATTTTTCAACTTGTGCAATGATTGTCCAATCACCATGGGGGAAAAGAAAAAAAAAACTAACTAGCATTAAATGTGTGAGATTTACCCTGAATCGTCAGGCATAAAGTAGGTGGTGGGCTTTTTGGCGCCATAAAAACCTGGGGTTATAAGGTTCTTATAGGCAGAGAAACTAGTCCTAATGTCACTTATCCCCTCGCCAGAATCAGAGTGTCCATTGAAGTCCTCAGCTCCACTGAAAATTGGTTTCATATTACATATTCAGTGATGGTCATATGATGTAATCAGTGCTAGTTCATTCCTTGGATGAATTTAGAATTGGCTAGAGACAATGAGAGAGAGAGAGAGAGAAAAACAGAATAGACAAAGGGAGAGACAGAACAATGAGAGAAACAGAATAGACAGGGAGACAGAAATAGAGGAAGAAAATAGAGAGAAACCAAGCCACTTTTTGTAATTCTTTTTTTCAAATGAAGACTTAATTGTGCTGCATAGTACACAGTATATGTAATAGTGACACAATTTTGAGTGAATTATTTTGTACAATACTAAGGCATTGTAATCCTGGGAAAAGTTAGGAATTGGATTATTTTGTGATGAGTGACTGTGATGTGCTTTATATCTTAATTACCAATTGCAATCTTAGGTCATTAATTGTGGGCTTCAGTCAACAAAAATTTTAAATGAAAACATGTATAGAAAGATAAATTATGTCACATTTTCAGCTGAAATTTCCCCTTCTTTGAGTACTTAATTGCATTCTTGTTGAAAAAATAACAGAACTATGCCAAACGTATTATATATTATTTATTAGATTACATGTAACAAGCATTATACAAAAACTAGGATATAATCACTACTCATCAAGCATATATCTTTGATATACAGTGGACTATATAACTTGTGTCATGATAACGAAATAAATTGAAATTTTGTTTGCTTGCCCTTCACAACTGACCCCCGACCAACTGACTGACTGACGAACTCATGCATTTTGACAAAAATTAATTTCTTTTAATTTTCTTTTTGGATGCAAAACTAAGTGACATCTTACAGAGAGAACATAAAGTAAAATTATCTCCCTTTAAAATCTTGTTGCCTACACTGTACGAGTATAAAAATGGAGAGTTGAAATGGAAAAAACAAACAAAACTTTAATTTATAGGTCTGATACATTTTCTCTCGTGTCTATAATTCTGTTGGAGTCTAAATATATGCACATACAATATATATATGAATTCTGTTAGATTCTCTAAATAAATTATTCAACAAAATCTGGCAGTTATTATAAAATGATATGTTGGAATATTTTCAACAAGAATGCAATGCTGATCAATGATATAATAATGAATTTTGTTTTAACACTGAACAGATTTTTCAACACCTTACTGCAAGTACATGAAATAATCAGTGATGTTTGTAGTGCAATAATACAGATAAAATACAGGGGTGGGGAAGGCTTTTTTTATCCAGAGTACAATTATTATTTTCATAGAAATTTTTGGAAAACTATTAAATATGCAAAAAAATAACATTTTATAATTTTTCTGGCTGGTTGTATTGATGCTTACGATCACATACCGGTATTTTCTAAAAGAAGATTTCTTCTTTTACATATGTAAGACATTAAAATCCAAATGCAATATTATTTTTTGTTTATTTTTTATATGATTGGTGACATCTTTAATTGGCCGCAAATTTTGTAAGATTCTGCAAAAGAACTTATACTTGTAAGTTAGGACTTCCAAGTGATAAGGGTGGAATATGTGAAAAGTGTGGAGAAGTTTTACAGTGATGTTGCTTGTGCTTGAAACAGATCTAGTATTTTGGTTGTGGTATATTTTTGAAATGAATTGTGGACAAATGACCCATACAAAGATTGTTGTAAATATAAAATAGACAGATTCATTAGTATTCAGTCCCTAAATAATTTGTTATCTATAGCTATACACTTTATCTTTTTTTTTCAAGGAATTTGAAACCAAACTACCAGCAAAAATAAATGTTAAGTGGAATCTACAGATCAGTAAATATATATAATGGGATAGTTTCATGCTATTTTTTTAGTGCTACTAACAATTTCAGATCAATGCAATGCATGCAAACATTCACAATTATTCTACATATATTTTGAAAAAAAAAAGACACATGCACTGCACCATTTCTGAATTAAAAATCATGAAAACTGCATTTTATGCCAGTTCGAATAATAATTAATGATTGAAGTCTTTCAAACACTTGAAATATCAAGTAACATATTAATGGGAAATCAAAGTGGAAAAAAAACATGATTCAAATAAATATATTTGTTATAACTCTAACAAATTAATTAAAGCTTTCATATCCAAACTTTATTCTCCTTTTGAGAAAAAACTTGATATGTTAATAGACATCACACCTGCCTTATAAATGGTGACTATTGTAAATGCATTCTTGGGTACATTTGGCATATACATTGCTGCATTTGCAAAATATATACATTTTTTCTTTAAGTTTCCTTTAATTCTTATTATTTTTCAAAATATAAATGCATACAAAATCTTAAATCAACTTCTTACAGTTGGATTCCAAAAAAAAAAAAAGAAAATTTTTTTTTACTGCTTTGCTAATAAAATCTGAATTGTAACTTAATCCCTTATTTCAATCTGTAAATAAGTCAATATGAAATATGCACAGACTATCTTATTAAACTACAAATTATGCAAGATTCAGAATACAAAAGTAAAGCTTATCATGCTTATTGCACTCAAAGATAGGAAACTTGCTGAAAAAATAGAGTCATTCTACACATTCCATGAAATAGAAAAAAAAAAAAAGAAAAGAAACTTGCAACAAGGCAATTAATTACCATCACAAACACCACACACAATTTTTTCCCCCTCACCTGGGACGATCCGGACTTGGATACCCAGAATCCCTTGCTGCTGCTAGATCTCTGTTGCCATGGTTGCTTGGAGGACCATTCTCCTGCCTTGCTCTTAACTTCTGCAGTTGCTCAGTGTCCATGTAGATCTGGTTCATGAACGACCTTCCTCGATCGTACGACCCTTCCCTCGAATGCTTTTCTGACATCACATAGGGTCTAGCATACACAGCATTTTGATTGGGCGATGTTCGAGATCTGTTCATATGTTGCCTGGGGGCAACATAATCATATGGATTTTCATTTTGATCATTATACTGGTGTTTCTGGTCTTGTGCAGGATAGCTGCTTGGATCAGCATAATTGTAAGCTCTGGAAAAAAGAAACATGAATTCCGAATATTTTACAAGCTTTTTCCACCATTAGTTCATGCCTCATCTCTAAACATTCTGATGACTTTATCTTTGAAGCTTTGAACTCTACGGTTTTACTGTTTTCATCTCTTGTTAGTTACTCTTGATAAAGCTTATAAAACTCAGGTAAAACAAGATGTGTTTGTGAAACACCAATGCCCCTGTATGGCAGCTTATGGTGAAGGTTTAGTATCTCAAATGCAAGTCAAACTCCAGGTCAAAAGATCAAAAATGTTGGCATCCAAAGAAAGGTCTTGTCTAGAGGAATATACCTGTGAAATATGAAAGTCCAAGCACCAACCGTTCAAAAGTTATGGCCAAGGTTAAATTTTTCAAATGTAGGTCAAACTCCTAGGTCAAGGTCAAAGGGTCAAAGTTGTTGGTATCCAAAGAATGGTCTTGTCACAAGGATTACATATGTGAAGTTTAAAAGCCCTAGCACCAACTGTTCAAAAGTTTAGCCAAGGTCTTGTCACAAGGATTACACGTGAAGTATGAAAGCCCTAGCACCAACTGTTCAAAAGTTATGGCCAAGGTTAAAGTTCGGTAAAATTTTGCAAAACTGGGTCAAAATCAAGGTCATGGTCAAAAGGTCAAATATGATGGTACCCAAAGAAAGGTCTTGACACAAGGAATACACATGTGAAATATGAAAGCCATAGCTCCAATCAATCAAAAGTTATGGGCAATGTTAAAGTTTTTGTGGACAAACAGACAGCAGACGGACAGGGCAAAAACTGTATACCCCCCAAATCTTCGATAAGGGGGCATAAAAAATTGTTTTTAGCTTTCTCCATTATACATGTATGTAAGAGAGTTTCACAAAAATGACCTGATAAAGATCAGACATTGGTAATGGACCACATCTGACAGATTTCTTTGGGAGAATGTCCATCACAGAATAAACTGATTATTAATGAATTACCAAGAGTAACCAGCCGTGACTGAAAAACAATATTCCATAGACATAGCATGCTGGGACATTGTGTCTTAAGCAAGCTTACAGAGCAGCCAATGAGCAATATGCACATTTCTGATGAATTTGTTCCTTAAACCATTGCAAGTTTTTTTCTTTGTTTAAAGACTTTATAAAGCACTTTTGATTTCATAATCCCTTTGTAGTTGCAAGTTTCCTTATTAACATGTAGGTATGTCTTCTTTTTTCTGAACTAGGAGACATTAGAGAGTACATTTACTAAACTAAGAAAAAAACTTGCAATGGTTTTCTGGAACAAGCACTTTTCTTATTACTATACTGTTAATATATTATCTGATTAGAGTATTCAACCTGTTAGATCTTAGAACACACACATTTTTGTCTTGTGTACATGAAATAAGAATGTGTGCTGAAAAGAAAGAACGGGGGAAAGGCACCCAAAGAAAAAAAAAGGTCAGGAGCAATTTTTCCCTGTACAATATACTGTAAATAAACCACAAATCTACATATCTTATACATATTACACGTACACTATTGACCTCCATAACTTGTTTACAAACATCTATACTAGCAGATTTTTCTACATATTAAATATCGTTATGGGTGTTAGTAAATGGGTGGAAAATATAACATTAGGCAATCATAATTCTACCATTTCTGTTATTCTCAAGAAAAAATTATCTTAAGTCAATTTACAGTAATTTCAAAGGAAAATAATTCAGAACAAAAATTTAAACTATTTCCAAGAAAACTTATTATAAAATCAGTAAATTTACAGTTATATTGTCAAGGAAAATTTACTCTGGATAATGTAAAAGTGCATGACTAGAAAAAAAAATACTGCTTAATATAAAGTATAGAAATACCACAATTTCAGGGGAGACAACTACAGACAACAGGAAGTTTAATGAGTTCCCTCCCATTCAACCTTTACTCAAACCAAACTGGGTCTTATTGAGTACCTGTTGGAATTTTCATAATTTCGAATTTTGAGATCATCTGGCTCAATCCCCCGATCTCTCAGGTGATATGTCTTGACAGGGACAGGCGGTGGTTCTTTTTTCACCCTAGGTGGCGCCCCGTCCTGTAATGGGGCATGATGGGAAGGTGCAGATGATACTTGGGGCTGATTGACGGAGGGTGAAATGGTAGGAGATGGAAGTGACTGTTTTCGTGAGGGAAGCTGCTCGTCTTTTCTGTTGAAAAAATCATGTTGGTTTTTTTTTGTACAATTTTTCTGCATAATAGATACTACTACCAGCAATAAAATATTCCAATCATTTCAGCCAAGTTCAGAAGAAAATAATGTCTGAAAATTTTAAGGTACCAAATCTTGTGTGGTGGAAGGTTTGTTTTAAAATGGTATCAAAATAAAATTGATATTTATAGGAGGATTGGAGGAAAGTGTTTAAGGTTCTGGACTGGATAATTCATGCTTAAATGTAAACTATGAGACTGCAACTTTTATTAAAATCTTCAAGCTTTTCAATATTATGTAATTACTGCATGCTAGTGAGTGGCATATAAAGGTCTATAAAAAGTCATTTTTGCCAAAGGAAATAAGAGGTTTTTTGACATATCCTTAAAATATTCATGCAATTAATTATAAATTATACAGAGAAGACCTAAAATTTATCAATCGAACTTAAGACTATGTTTCACATTAATGTCACTTGTTACTTTGTTCTAGCTGTTTTGTTTTTTGGGGGTTCATCTTCATTGCTTATGAGATTTTTGAGTTTAAGAATTCCAGAATGTCCACGAGCAATGATAAAAGGTAGATGATTCTCAAGGATATGAAGTTCCTTTTTGTCAGTCACATGACTTAAGTCAACCAATGAACTGCTGTCTTTCATAAATTCTAATAATAGTTAGTGTGCACCACTCACTCAACTGTTGAGCTGCTTAAAAAAGTAAAATTTATCTCTTAATAATATTTTTTTTAAATAAATATCTGGATTACAAAGAATATGGCATACATATTTCTGTTTTTATGACAATCTGGATTATTGATGGTATGGAATATATTTCCAGTTTTTAAATAATTTTTCATGATTATTGAAAATACAATGGAATACTGTTTATATGAATATGATAGTATTGAGAAGTGGAATCAATATTATTCCAAAATGATTATCTAGATAATGCAATTTTTACTGCAATAATGATTAATGAAAATGAAGTTTCTATAAATTCAATGTTCCTTTGCATTCTTTGAGGACTGCAATTTTTTTTTTAATATTTCTATCTTGCACTATCTAGCTTCAAGCAGCCTAAGGCTTACCTAGAGACACACAATAAAAAAAATAAATAATCTGTGCTAAATTTAAATTCTTAATATGAATATTTTAACAAGAGGTAATTTTTTTGGTGGTTTTTATTTTTATTCCCTTTTATCTTATTTTTTTTTCAGACTGTTTTAAAATTCAAATTAAAAATTAATTATTAATCAATGTTGTTAGAGTCATTAAAATTCCACACAGTAAAAAAGAGAAAAGAAAATTTTAGATTCACACAACCCAAAAGTAATTTAAGTGCAAGAAATACAGTTATTACTGATGTTAAACCTAGATATTTCATTTATCCAAAAGTCTAACTTAATAAATTTATCTCTTCAAGTAAAAAGAAATGCACTATTTAATTGAAATAAAAAAAAATCAATTTCAAATTGCAAAATTCCAATCTTTCCAATTCCAGTCTTTAACTGTTACATGTTAACTTTAAAATTTTATCTTCCAAGCATTCAAAAGAGTATGAAAACAACCATATTTAAACAGCACCACTTACCTGTATCGAGCAGAGAGGTCGGACAGTTTAGATTTGTCTACGTTAGCGGTGTTGACAGGATTTGCCGTACTCCGCGTAAATCTGTACGGATTGTGAGAATTAGACCTCTCCCCTTTCCCCGCTACTGCCATGCTGCCGAATTTCTCTCGTAATTTTGAATCGTCGTGACGGTTGACTGGATTTGACGTGTAACGAGAGTAAGAGTCGCTGCTGTAGCTGGAGGCATTTTCTTGGAATGGCTGTCAATGTGAAAGGAAAATCATTCATAATTGTAGAAATTTTAATACCGCTGGTAACATTGTTTGATGTTAATATCAACATCACCATTTTTTGCAACTTCAACTTCCGTGAACAACTTTAAATTCATTGGTAGCATTAATTCCAGTGAAAACAAGAGTGTCTTAATTTGAGAATTTGAGCAAATACTTAACAACTCTACTGCTGCATAACAACTGTTTTTCTTTTTATTATTATTTTAAATACCATTTCAAGAATCTCATACTTACATGACTACTATGTTTATTCATAAACACCAGTAACTATTCTCGAATGCAGTATTTCTTTGTGATTGATAGATATCTTGAGGAGCATTATGGTTTTGGTATGTGAATTTTTGGGGATTAGTGGGCCTGAATTATCTTAAATGCTGTATGTGGGGTGGTGGGCCTGAGGGTGGACTGTGGGGATGATTGGGCTAAAGTTGGACCGAGGAGTTGATGGGCTGCCATTAACTGTGAATGCTGTGTGTGGGGTGGTGGGCCTGACATTACCTGTGAATGTTGTGTATGGGGCGGTGGGCCTGTGGCTGGACTGTGGGGTTGATGGGGCTGTGGTGGTGGCAGTGATGCTGTTGATGGACGATTGTGGTTGATATGACGACCCAGATCTGGTTCAGAGCGATGATAATCTGGATTAAATCTCTGAGGCCCTCGATCATCATAGGCAGGATTGTACCACTGGCCTAAAATACATATCCACATATGAAGTGAATTATATGGTCACATACACATACACACGAAATATCATATAGAGACATGAATTACAAAACTTAGATATTGTGAAATATAAATGATTAACACAATCCTTATATCACTGAAGTCTGGTATATAACATAAGTAGTAACAGTATGTCTCTTTTTCACACCAAAATTTTTCACCGATTTAGTGACGGGAGGGTGTCTAATTACCCTGCTGAATACAAATGTCTGAATATGGTGCAGAAATATGCAATAGTTTACCATCTTCTGGAATTTTGCTGCGTAGACGTTCATGTGGAGTGATTGTGGCGTAGGGGTTGATGGAGCGTGAATGTGGAAACTGGCCTGGAGGAAGACTCTCTGACGCATAGTAGGAAGGGTAGTACCGATCTTCTGACTGGCGGTCAACTATAAAAGTACATGAATATTCATTATCGAAATACATGAATAAATATTGTGGTAATATTCAAGAAACAAAGAAAGCAAAACAAGTTAATCAATAATGCTATATATGTGTTTTGATATTAAATGAAAAGGTACATATAACTGTGACAATTAAGCTATAAATCAAAACACTGTATCTATATGACTTTTAAAAATTTTCATGAATTTATTAATAAATTATGCAAATTTCTTCACTCACAATCCACATATCTCCTGTCATCCATTAATCCATGATGTGGAGAGGAAGGCTGTAAAATATAGATATTTCATATATGAAAAATGAAAATTCTAATCAATGAAAAATCAGCTGCCATTAATTGAAAGAATTCTAGTTCATATATCTCTAGGAGGTGAGAGGACATGTTTAAGCAGTATTTCCTGAAGCATGGTGCAATGTCTGCTAATGCAGCAGCTGAGGTACAAATCTTTAAAAAAAAAAATGGCTTAAATTAAGCAATGATTGAGTTTTTTTCAAATTACTCTCTTACTTGGTGTATTGTGAATTTACTGTGAGAAATCACAGGTTTCCTATAAAAGTGGATGGATTAAGGATGTTCTATACACTATGTACTAGTTCCAATTCTGAAGTATTTTCATGCAGTTAGAGTGATCTGCCCTTACACCTAAAATGCAATAACTTAAAATCTACTGTGTATTATTCATTTTGTAATCAATCTAAGCATTCTTAACATTTTATTAAGCCTAGATAAATTCACTTTATTCGCATACATTCTCCCCATATAAGAAAACAACAATTTCAGTTCATCAATATAATGTTGCTTTGAATATTTCATCTGGGGGTAAGGTAAATTGGATAAACTCTATATTTTCATATTTGTACGATATAATTTTCTCATTATCCCCCCAAATTTTTTTCTTAAGTGTATAGAAGGTCCTTAACAGTCATCACTGACAGACTCACAGATCGGTGGTAGCTGGGGGGTGCTGGATAAGGAGGGATACCAGGGACACGATCAGTGGTGTTAATACTGGGATCAGACGACGACCGAATGAGCCTCTTTTTGTGCTTGGGGGAGGCATCAAAGTCATCGCGGGGTGCTTTGGTGGGGGTGCTTGGCTCGTTCTCCTGGTTCGGAGAATAGCTAGCTCTGCTGCCCATTGGGAACAGGAAGTCATCGTTTACATTGTCTTCCGGCTTGTGCTCCGACATCCAGATGGCCTGGCTCTGCTGTAACTGGATCATCTCTATCATGCGCTGATACCAGATGTCTGTACTGTTATGGCTGATTGTGGCTGTCAAAGGAAAAGACATAATAGGTTATATTACAATTATCTAGAGTAACTTCCCTTGCCTGCACTCTTTTTTGTGGAAGTTTGATATAGTCCTGATCTCATGAGATTTTTTGGGTATGAATTTCCAGAACAAACAAAAATTCCTAACTTACACATTTGTTATTTTTTGTTAGATGAATACCTTTTTTCATCTGCTAACATTCCCCAAACTTATGCTTCTTTTCAAAATCTCTGATGTTGAGCTACAATGTGTCTATTATATCAATATCCCCTACCCCTAGGAAAAACATATCTCCAATACCGAAGAGTTTCTATAGAACTGGCTATTGCAATAATAGCTATACAAGCAACTTATTATGCTTGTGAAAGAAAGTGCTCCCATACATGCATCTCCCAACAGCAGCATTCAATTCTACTGGAGCTCTGACCTCTTACATATCACATGACCTTTCATAGACTATGAGTGACCTTAAACTAACAATAGTCAAATACATGTAAGTAGTTTCTGTATCAAGTGGCAAATTTCTTCTTACCAAAGATCTGGTAGAACTGAAAAATCACTCACCAGTGAATAAGTGAGGATACAATTTCTCTAGTTTCTGGCTTTGTTCAAACAGCTTTTTGTGATTTTTAGTGGAACCCTTGGCAAACTTTGCTCTGCATTCTTTGACGATGGTCTTGTTCTCTGCCTTCAGGAATATTACTATGGGGTAATACTGGGCGTAGTTCAGCTTGTCCACATTGTGTGGAGTTACGTCCAACAAACAGTGTTTTCTCTATGAACAAAGCAAAGTTCAAAATTTGGTTATAATGACCTAGTTAGTTTAAAGTACTTTAAATTCACCAAATATATATATATATATATATATATAAGCAATTTAGATTCCTTTAAAATTATTTATTTCCAATTTGTAACCATCTTAAAAAACATTGTTTCATCTCCAAATGTATGTATTTTACAAGTAGTGTTGTTTGTATAAGCCAAAGAATTTTGTATTATATTTTCTACGATATACACTTTTATATAAATAATGAAATTTATTTAGAAATTGATTTTTTTTTACATAATCATTAACATTTCATTTTGAAAATTGTGTGTCAGCAAGCAGAAATGGGACTTTTTTTTTTAAATGTTGGCCCAATTCTCCTGATTTTCAATTTCATTATCACAATACCCTATGTTTATGAATCAGCACTTTAAAATTTACATGGAATTAATCACAATACTCACCCCCACGACCCAACCCCCCCCCACCACCACCCACCCCCCACCCCTTTACACGCTCCATTATGTTTATTTTAAGACACGCATACCTTATTGATAATCTCTTTGATTGCACCAAGTCGAATGATTCCCGATTTTCTCTGGTCACTACCTCCTGGGCTATTTGTGTCAGCCTCTGAAATTTCCAAATATTTAAAATATCAGTTAAAAATTCATACAAATTTGACAATGCAAAGTATCTACCAAACAGAATTTCAAAGAAATACTTCTACAGCAAATCTCTCTAATCCAAATGTTGGGTAATCCTAAATCTTGTCTATTTGGATGAAAACTTTTAGTCTTTTTAGCTAAATTCAATTGTTTAAAATGTGGTCTAATCTGGAATGTTATCCAATCCAGCCAATTTCTATGGAACCAGTGGTGTCTGGATAAGACAAGTTTTTACTGTATATTATTTGTGTACAATACTGTACATGTACATGCAAGTCTCATAAAAGATGCTAATTATATATATTTACTTACGTGGTGACTCAAATTGATCAGGAAATTCTTTTAAGAGTTTTTCTCTGGCCACATCGGCCAGTGCACCAAAAATGACCACAGGTCGAACAAATCCAGCTAAAATTAAAACAAAAATAATGAAGAATTAAGTGCATAACAATATAATGATGACACACAAACTTTGATGACATTTTATTTATTTTGGCCAAGTTAAATCTCCAAATATAATTTTTCTTTTTATAATATGAAGAAGATTGAAGGAGGTGCACACATAAAACTGATAATTTGATATACACATGTAAATGACTGATTGAAATGTACCAACTAAAAATAAAAACAAATTTTAACAGTGCTCTTCAAGAATCAGATAGCAAAACTTTCAAACCCTAGAAATTCCTTCATTTTAAATGTGATGTGTTTTTTCAGCTTCCAACAATTAATACTTACAGTCTCTTAAAGTCACTCTCTCGTATGCTGGGAACTTTGTTGTTAAATTGGCTGGAAGAAAAATCAAAATACAACTAATATTTCAACATTTTTAACAAAGTATTATGTGTAAAACACTGATATTCTGAGAGAAATGCACTAGTCTAGATTCATTCAAAATGTGTACATTTTAAACATTCTGAAACAAAATTTTGATGCCATTTTTTTTTTTTTTTGTCCAACATTCTGTATGTTATATGAAAATATTCAGCACAGAAAAACAAGTTTTGTCATTATCTTGAATTTCATGTGTTGCTCCATGCTGTAAAGTGTATGCTGAAAAATTGGTGATATGATTATGCTAAATGCTATAGCTACAAGATTTACTAAAATAAATTGTGAAAGAAATGTTTTAGTTACATAATATTTACTGACAGATAAATTAGGGAAAACATATATAAAAGAGAGTTTAAGACTAGGAATTTAAAATGGTGGAAAGATTTTATTATGACAGACTTACTTAAGAGTAAACTCTTGATTCTGAATTTTTTTAATTCTTATGAATGACATTCTGTGCCCTCATAAACAGCCTTTCATCTTCTAGGACAGAAATTCTAAGCTTCTGTTTGTCATTCAATGAATGAAATTTCAAGCAGCCAAACTTTAACTTAAATGTAAGTTGCCATCGTCGAAAAGAAGAGGAAAAGTGTTTTCTTAAATTTTTTTGAAGAAAGGCACTTGTTTGTGTATTTTTTTTCTTTTTTTTTGGGGGGGGGGGGGGGGGGGGGGGGTTCAATCTCACGCATAGTATGTAATTGAACGTTGCTCACAGACTGGCTAATTCTTGATGTGTAAAGCATGAAAAAGTTCAGCTACTCAGCTAATATGAATATGAGGAATAATATATTAAGATGTATACATGTTGCACTAAAAGGTGAATCAAACTTCTAGAATTCACACAAGCTATTTCTTCTGCAAATCCAGGAATAGAGAAATCCATCCTGTTTCATGATTTGCAATGCAGGTAAAGGTGAAAAAAATGTCTCATGATATTCAATTCCAAAACATTTCCAAAAAAAAAAAAAAAGAACAAAGATGGCTGCACGGGAAAAAAAGCTGATAAGGAATGATTGGTTTACGTGCAATATCTGTATAATTTTTTTTTTTTTCAAACAAGTGCTTGGTTTGATAAATTAAATGCTGGTTGCATTCATGAACTTAAATAAAAGTAATTTCAAAAGCAATTGACAACTAGACAGCTACAAAATAAAGATCTGTGCATCAAATACACTTTCATGGATTTGAATTCATTCTATTATGTCATAAAGGAAAACAGAAAAGCTTGGTATACACATTTTTAGCACACTTACCCCCATTTTCAGCTAAGAAAAACCACATGGGAAAATTTATTCACAAGAATTGTTTCCCCCCCCCAAAATTGAAATTATCTCACACCTTTTAACATTAATTTATCATATATTACCTTTTTTTCCACTTGCAGTCAATAAATAAATTCAACACATTTCTTTAAATGATTGTTCAGAAAATTCTTGGATCCACCAATTTTTTCAATAGTAAATTCAAGCAAAACTTCTTGATCCACCCCTAAGGATAAACATTGACTTACAGAAAATGACGTCTTCCCAGTGATCTTTGCCCAGTGATTTGCTGCGCCTGGCGGCCTTTCTCTTGAAAATGAGGCTACGACTTTTAGTGGGGGAGTTTTCCTTTTCGGACTCTGTATTTGTGGAGGCTGAAAACAACATCTCAGCACTGTGCGAAAAGAGGAAATAAAACATTAAATTGGGATACTGCTTTCATCTTATAAATCACATTTTTGTTTATCTAAAAACCTAAGAAGCAATTAATGTGATGTTAATATAATGATAGATAAATGATAAATCCAATACAGTGTTTAAAAAGTCCTTTTATCTACTCTAAAAACAGAAAAGTTTGTCTAAAAGTAATGATATTATTTAAGAACTGCTGTTTAAAAACTTGAAACAACAACTAAAAAATCTCTGCACAAGACACAGTGATCCAAAATACTAGTGATAAGATGTTCAACAACATTCTCTAATGAAATATGAAAATAATGAACAGTAATCAAGCTCCACTGAAACAATACAATTGGGAGCAGAGCAAACACAGACCTCTAGAAACATAAGAGGTGGGATCAGGTGCCATGGAGGAGTAAGCATTCCCTGTAACCCCTACCTATTTTTATTGGGGATGAATCCTTTCTGTGTCTCCTGGTTATTCCTGCCTATCCGCATGGCTAACCAATATCCCACAACCCCGCGAAATAATGTGTCCTTAATGTGGAAAATATCCCCTATGGTAAAGGACAGCTCACCGACATCTTTGGCCTGGTATTCGAAATGTGTTCTAAAAAATTAAAAATTGACTCTTTATTTACATTCAAAATGTGCTGAAAATTTTGCATTATTTCAATATCATTAATTGACACATGTACATGTATCTCTGTACACTGTTCACTATAACTGGAAATTAACGAAGTAATTATATTTTTCTTGTAAAATTAAACTGCACTAATTTTTTTTCTTTCAGTGCATGTAGCAGTTATGCCCCTTTGATTGTGTTCAATAGATTTTGTTTACCTTATATAAAAGCTGTCTCCAGCCTCATGGCTTGAAATTATCCTGTCATATTCTGAAAAAAAAGAGAGATGAAATATCAATTAACAATTTCCTTTTTTCCCCCTAATTATCCACAAATGTAACATAAAAATCACGTATCAAACACAATTCATATTTTACATGAAGGTAAAATGGTTCTTCCATGAGAAGCCATCATGTTAACTACCCACCCTCTCTCTTATACTGAATCACCATGGAGACCCGCCCCTCCAGACTCGTTAAGAAGGTCACTGCGTCCTCTCGGGTCATTCCTGGGATCTCCACATCATTGGCCTAAAAACATCACAATATTCAACACTGAATTACATAAAAATCAATTTTTTGATGATATAAAGAAAAGTATGAGAAAAATCATCAAATTCTACTTTCACAATGCAAATTATCATGTTTTCCTATATTTTATTATGACCCTGTTTTACTAACAACAAATTTTCTACTTTCAACAGTTTTGCAATGTTTTCTTACTCCCTTTGGGAAGCCTCATTTACCTTCAGTATTTGGTCCCCCTCAGTGAGCCCCACAGCTTCAGCACCACTTCCTGGTTGGACTGATGCTATAAATATACCAGTGGCATTCCCTCCTGCCAACCTCAATCCCAGACCAAATTCTGGCTCCTTCTCGAAATACACAAACCGTGGGTCAAGCCTAAAAAGACAGAAGTTTCTCACATGTACATCATCTGAATTTCATGCAAACTTACTGATTATACAATGGAGAAATTTGATACCAAGCTCTTTTATTTGGAGGTACAAAAAGTGGTAGTTCCTTTTCATTTTTCTAGACCAAATTATAATCATTTGAAGAAATTAAACTTTACTTACACTATGTCCTTTCTCTTTCCAACATATCTCCTAAAATAAAAATTTAGTAGTTAAAATTCTTTATTCAATAATACATACAGAAAATAATATATGATGATATATTGGGTTTTTTTTTTTTTATTTATTTTGGTCATCTATTTATTTCTCATAACTATATCATGTACAATATGTTCTCTTCAAAAACCCATCTAACAAATAAAACACTATTTTTGACAGGAGTTGCACAATTTTATTACTCACTCATCATGATGCCTTCGTTGCATGTGGGGGTCTATTCTGCCGTGGTCACTCATGTAGCCCTCCCCTGTGGGGGAGTGGGGAGTACGGGGACTTCTGGGGGAGTAGAAGTCATCCGGTCTCAGCAGCTCCTTACCAGGACTTGGGGGTCTTGGTGGGGCATCTAAGGGAGATAATAAATGCAGAAATTCTTATATAGCATGCATAACTAATATGTCTCACTATGGTTTGTTAACTTTATTTATGCAATACAAATTTCATATTTATTGTATCTGCTAAATTTGAGGATATTATGGATGTAAATATCACTTAACTATTAAAATGTCATTTATACCATTTGGTTTTGCAAAGGTTTTGTTTTTTATTCATTATGTTCATAACAAAATTTCTGCTTTGATCACAAAGAATTTTAAAAAGTCATTATACTTCATATTTTGTATTGCAAATGATATTTTATTTTAAAAACAAAAAAATTATTCTCAGAATCAAACTTTTTTAAATGACCTTTGACCTACCTGTCTCATCTGGAAGTGGAGGTCGAGGAGGAGCCTCATGGTCATAAACATATCTCCCATCATACCGAGCATGCTCATTGCCAGGGTACGCCCCAGGGGGGATTTCCTGGTAATTGTGGTGCCCCTTGTAGGCCTCCTCCTCTGGACTGCTGAGGGAGGGGCGATAAATGTTGACATTGTCTATGTCTGACCGCTTGTTCTGTAGGGTTCCTTGTAGAGTGCCATAGCCTAATGAATATTCTGTGGGGTAAAAAAAGGGGATCCCTCCTAGTGTTATGACATTTCACATGGGGTACAGAAAGGGGAGAAGGTTAGAAAATATATCATGATTAACACAGATTGGCTACAGAAGGTGGGAGGGGGGGGGGGAGGAAATACTGTGAAATCAGTTTAATGGATGGGGTCAATGTTCTTGGGCAAGCAAAATTTAGCTGGTTCATGGGGACGCAATTTCATGGGAAACTTATTTTTTAGTAGACTCAATGGATCAATACATTGACAATAATCTTCCATGAGGATGTGACTTTTTGTGGATAAGGGTGACCAAAATCCAAGAACATTGGTCCCCCACAAACAATGATGATTCCACAGTCTAGCAAATATATTACGACCAATGCACATTAGGACCTGAGTTAGGAGTTAAGGAATTACTGTGTTAACAGCTACTCAAATAGGATATTAGAGTGAGGAGTTTATTTACTCATTTTAACGAATGGTATTGAATGGGAGGGAGTTTAGAAAACCATGCTATGACAGCATTCACATGAGATATTCACCAAATTGTATCTAAACACCTAAATGTTAGCTTTCCATCTAGCCAAACATACAGAACAATCATATTCCAAGATTTGCATAAAGTATAAAATAATGAAATACACATGTATATATTTAATATTCTTCTACATGAGACATTAAAAATTCCCTTTTTATTGCAATATTTAAGAATTTCTATAAACAAGAAAAAGAAAGATAACTCTTACCATCCTCTTGTGCTTTGTTTGTGGATGGTACGCGGTCCTCATAACGAGATTTTGAGATGAACAGTTGAAGTTTGTCCTTGGTTTTCTCTATCATTTTCTTAGCATCAAGCAAGGACAGATTCTCTACAGGAGTGCTGTTAATCTACAAATAAAGTAATGTGACTGAGTCATGTGACTTAACTTCAATTTTACAAATACAGTCAAACCTCGTTATCTTGAACTCGAAGGGAGTGCGAAAATACCTCAAGATAACTGAGGATTCGAGATATCCAGGGTAAAATATTTAAGGAATAAGCAGTTGGGACTTCAAAATCACTTCAACATATCCATGGTATTCGAGATATCTGTGTTCGAGATACCGAAGTTCAACTGTACTTCATGTTTGGCAAGATTGAACTTCCAAAAAAATTGATAAAGCAAAGTGTCAACAATTTTGATTCCCATAAACGTAATTCAATAGATATCATATAAGTCATTAATACATGTAGTCTGATTCAGAAAACACTGAAGTAACCCTCCCTGAATGAGACTAAATTCAGTTTAATTCAGGGAGGGTGAGTCACATTTTTCTATTCTAATGTTTCTAATGTCCCCACACAAACCTTGAGGACAACATCTCCTTCTTTAAGTCCGCCATCTTGGGCTGCTATACTGTTCCCCGTAATTTCTTTGATATAAAATTTGCAGCCCAGAACCACTCCAATATCTGTGTCAAACAAAACGCATGTCAATCACAACAGTAGAATTAGTGAATACTGTATACAGGGTTAGTTTTGCCCCAGACCTGTTTTTTTTTTTTTGCCCTTTCACACTTGAAAACAATTATGTCCCAATTTTAAATTCACCAAGACACATTTAATAATATAATGCTGTCTTCATTTAATTTATCCCGTTTTAAATTCACCCCCTAGCAATGAGGCGAAAGGGGCAAAAAAAAAAAACGGGAGCAAAAATTTTTCCTGCGTACAGTATTTCACAGGTAAATCATCATATCAAGCATAATTCAGTTTTCCATCTTGGAAGATGAGCGGAAGTAACCAAAATTTATATCAGCCGAGGATAAAAATTCAATTTTTCCATTATACCAGGTAATTATGGTTCAAATTTGCTCTGCATGAATTTGTAAGTCAAGAAAGCTGGCTATTTTTGCAAAAATGGATGAAATTTTTAAATCAAAAACCTCATATCAACAATCCTTTTAATAGACAGGGCTAGGGGATATTATAAAAGTGGATAGATGTAAATTCTCAACTTAAATAACCCCCATTGAATCGATTTGATCATAAGCACCCACATACCATCCAATGGTCAGGTAGATTTTTAACCAAAACAGCCCTTAGAAATACAGAAATGGGTATTCTGAATATCATGTCTACATTCAAAACACAGTAAGATACTTACCATCTCGTCTGTTTTTGCGGGAGAGTGTAATTTTAAGTGGACTATTGTCCATTTCTGTGTACGTAGGGACCAACACACGTCTTCTTATGACCTGCAAGAAAAGAAAAATGACAAGAAAAAATTTATTTATCATTTTCAATACACACAATAAAATAGAATTCAACTATCCTGTTATTTATTTTCTTTATAAACACTGTGATTATATTGAGAAATGAGATGTTTATATCTCTGTAATATAGATCAGGTTACGTAACTTTAATTGTTATCTGTGTTCTTGAAAGCCATCATGCCCTATTTGTAATACAAAACTTGTTTACTACCAGTATTTCTGTTGTAAAATTTAGTTTTGCTGTAAATGAGATGTTTACAGCCCTGTAATATTGATCAGGTTATATAACCTTAGTTGTTATCTGTGTCCTTGAAAGCTATGATATCCTATTTGTAATACAATATTTCATTATTACCAGTCTTCGTGTTGTAAAATTTACAGTATTGCTGTAAATGAGATGTTTACAGCCCTGTAATACTGACCAGGTTGACCTTGTTGCCGCTGTCCTTGAGGACCGCAATGGCCTGTTTATGGTCTACATTGTCCAGGGGGATCCCGTTCACACTCATAACTCGGTCGTTTATCCTGAAAACAAAAGTAAATTTCAATCACCTCTCCATAGCCCCAAAAGCATGTACATTATAAAACTAATTAAAAAGTTCAATTTTGTCATCAAAACCTTAGCAGGATGCAGCACAATGCAATTACTGCTTTAATTATTGCCCACCATTATCACCTTTTCAATGCAAAACTTATTAAAATAAAGTGTAAATTATTTGTCATGGAAATACTGGAATATTACTAGTACTCGCTGGGAAATAAATGATTCAAAACATTGTAATTAGGTTTTCCTCATTATGCTTAAGTAACTGCTTAAAAACAACTTGCCCCTCTTGACTAAATGCAAAGCAAAATTGACTTCACAGTGATAAACTTACAAAACAGATTAAAAAAAAATTAATTAAAAGCAGCAAATACTTTTTTTTTGCTCTGCTTCATGTCATACATAACACATTGACCATGTTTCCAAACAAATTTTTCATGCTAATGCATGTTATTCAGGAAGTATGTATTATTCAGAACACATTTTGTGATTTATGACAGAATCCAATGCTTCAATGCCTAATTAAAGTAAAAGTTCTACACAAAATTTTCCTGACAAAGCTTACCTCTTCTGATTTCATTTTCCAAAATATCAAACGCAGAACAGATTAAAATGAAATCTTCAAAAAAACACATACCCCACAAATTTAATCCACATTCCATGTAAATGTATACATTAACCAACAATTCCAGGTATGAAAATACAAGGTGACAGTTCATAGATTATTGATGAAGCTTTTCTAAAATGACTGAGTTAATTACTCAGTTTCAAACTCTCAGCATAGCCAAAAAATCACCATCCCACATTCTTTCAATGCCCCATGGTATGAAATTCCAAAACATCACCTCCCTGTGAAAGAACATTCTCTCTTCTGTCATAACAAACTGTTATTGAAATTTCACTCTATCGGTGTTTGAAATTTCAGTGTAAAGCCAATTAAAACTCAGCCTCGCAGAAAAACAAAAGACCAGTGGTATCCAATTTAACCGGCACTGTGCCTTTTCATTTTCCAAATAAACAAGACAATGTCAAAAACACACAAAATCAATGTTGCTCTTCAGGAAATTAAAATTAGTCGGAACTGCAATCACCCGTATTGATCTGATACATGTCTCTTTTGTTCTCTAATTTCTGACCGAATTCTGCCTTTATGACCTGACAAACTTGTCAGCTCTTGATAAATTTTCTACCATCTAATCTTAATCATAAAAGCAGCTTGTCTTTTCAATCTACTTGCAGGTAAATCATTTGTCCACTTCATATCTACCAGTATAACAACTTCCAACTTAAGGCAATTCTAAGTGTCAATAAAATATAGATTATTTACCTCCTTGCACAGAAGAGTTTTTAATTTTAAATCAATATGAACTTTTAGAAATAAAGATCCATCAACTTTAAATTGTTTCATACACCAGTCATGATACTTATTACAACATAAAATCTTCTCTTTCAAAACTGAGCAGTATTTGCTCTCTTCACATTAAAACATTATCAGTGTATGCGATATTTGGGTGAATATACAGAATAAATTTCACAAAACCAGACCAAAAAATGATCCTTGACCTCCTACCCCTCACCCCAATCCCACACCCAATGCTTATTTTTAGAGTCTATCCACTGCATTAACTTACTTAACAGTTTCAGTCATTTTGGGTACTGAAACAAAAGTTTTCAATTCACTTTGTCCTTGAAGTAAGGAGGGGACTAAAATAGGCTGTGCTGTCACTCTTTGTATATAAAATATTGTTTAAATTTCAGTTTATCTCATATCTGTGCTATTTTTGGATATTTGGGGGACTTACAGTAGTCTGCCCTCTGCAGGTCCCGCAGTCAGGACGTCGGATATAGCTATCGACGGATCTCCGTTTGCAAAATGTGGATTGTCTCGCCCCCCACTGACCGCTATTCCGAATCCAAATCCTGGCACCTGACAATGAAAAAATAAGAAACATTTTTAAAGTATGTAGCATGTAGCTTACACAGTTAATAAATATACAGTGTACTTCTTACATTAATTTACATAACATTTTATTTTATTTTTGATTTAAATTAACAGGAATATCAAAATATGAAGAAGAAAAAATAGAAGTTTAAAGTATATTCTATCAATATCCTTGACTAAAGTCTAAATAAATAAATTTCTTAACAAATAGAAATAAATTATACCACCTAAACTTGAACTTCAAGATTAATGATTGAATCACTCTATAATTACAGATTAGTTTTACTTACAAAATTTTTATTCTTTTATATTCCCATATTAACATGGGGACATTCAAAATAATTAAGTCTTACCATTTTATTCTAAACAAATCATCAGTCTTAGAATGTAAACCTAATAAATTTATTTCAGTTCATGTTCAAGTTTTACATGAAAAAAAAAAGACTTCTAATTTTGTACAGAATTATCACCATCAAAGTTTGATGTGGGATGCTCGTTATATACTATGCCAAAAATCGAATGCCATCTGTTTAAACTAGCACAAGAACATCCAGAATATCTGGAAACACCAGTAAATTGTTAGGTAATATACCTGGCATGGAACTTTCTGGCACAAAAATTTGGCATATGACAGAGCATATATCCGGAAAGTATTTGGCATTCATATAATATGTAGCAGTAATACTATACATAACCTGTGTTAACCAGAATCGTGTGTATATTTTTCTTTATAACCAGAATTTTTACATGATCTGGTGCATTAAGTCTTAATGATTGAAAGAATTTTTTGGATATCTCTTGCAAGTTGAATATTGGTGCAATGTTATCTCTTGTAAGATGATTTGGTGCAAAAGTAATGTTTAAGCATGTGCAGGTATTTTCCTGCATACATTCTGTCAGCAATTTACTAGCAGAGTAGATTATGTGCCTTAATTAATTTCTGTTGCATTTATTAAAATCAACCCTCTTTGGCAGAATTTTTTTTTTATAATTCTGACATACTGCAGTTTGATTTGTCATTTATACGTGTAGCTGGTTTCTTCCTTTTTATAAATTCTCAGTTCCAAATTACTTTAGTTTTCAATACACGGATAAGATCCAAATGTTTGTGGATAAGATCTCTGTTCGGTTTTGTCTCGCTGTCTATGAGATTGATCAACCTGATATATTTCTGTGGACAGTCCATAACAAACCTAACAAGTAATATTGCTTTTCAGTTCTTGTCAGGTTTTTGACTAAATGAAATATTTAATACTTCCTTGTCCCCGTGAAACTTGAAAGCAGGTCACATATAATCCCTCACAAAAGACAGTTGATTAAGAAATAATTCCCGCGTCGGAGGAATTGTTTGAGAATATACCTGGATAGTCGAAAGATTTTGTTGGCAAATAAAAACCAAGCCCAAAAGGTCATCATAAGTGTCTGATGATGTCACAATTGAATGCTATCCTTTTTCATTTGAATCTTGAGCATTAGAAAAAGTGCAATGTAATCGGAACCTAAAGTAAATTTTTTCTCATCAATTTGCATCACAATAAAAAGATACCTCTATCCTTTTCCTAGTGAAGGCAGTCAAAATGAGAGGAAACTGATTTAAAATTAGCGATAATTTGTTCATGATGTTTGTGATTTACTGGAAAATAATTTCCACGGCATCTCTTTAATCTTTGCAATAACTGTAGTAGAATTTACAGTATATGTATTTTGCATGCAGCTACAGATATAGTCTGTTAAACTGGAGACATGTACACACAGTTTTCATTTAATGAAAACCATTTCAATTTTTTTAACTGTATCGGTCCTAAAACAATATTATAAATCCTGAAAATTATAATTAAAACTTAATCAAGATATATGATAATTGATACTTACTCTTTTTAATGTGACATTATGGGTCTCCCATGTAACATTGTCAAGGCCCTGTAAAAAAAAAAAAAAAATCATCAGTATTTACATGTATCTTTTACAATGACCGCCAGCATCAAATTTAAATCCAAATCAACCATTCACATACCTGAAAGCAATCTGTTTATATGTCAATAATGAACATATTCCTCAAAATAAATTGTTTAGAAAATTAAATTTTCAAATTGGGTTAAGATGTAAAATTAATTAACACCAAAATATGCAATTTCATGCAACATCCAACCATTTGATAACATATGTTAATATTTTTTGAATGTTAATTTTAAAATTTTAAAAAATGATTTTGCAAATTCAAAGCTTTTAAATAGAGAGAATTCATTTTCTCAAGCTTAAAATAGCAATAAATACCCTGTGTAAAACTTAAACATTAAATTACTGGAGTACCTGCTTCTGAAGACAATTTGAAATTTTTATATGCATGACTCTAAATGGTCAACTGAAGTGAGTTCGAGCAATCCAGTATTTAATCCATTATCACTTATTCAGAGTTTTTTTTTTACACACATTTAGAAAATTTCTTCAGAAAGGCCATTTCAAATACATGCAGTTACATTGTCGAAAATCAAATGTTAGTTCTGGGACCCTCACCAGAAATTATTTTATAATCACACATTTTTGCTGTTAATCCAATGATAATGTAAATAATAATATTTATTATCCACATGATGAGATCATATTACAAACTGGCTTAAGGCTACAGGTCAATTAAACCTTTCAACAAATTATAATAAATTTAAACATTGCAGGCCAATTATAGAGTAATCTCCCAGTAGTAATTGGAGGCCTAATTTTCTAACACACTATAAAACTGTGACAAAAAAAAAAATCTTCATTGACACTATTCTAAGTTTAAAATTACTACTGAGTATTTTTCAGTTGATAAAACTTTCAATGGCTACATGTATACATCTGGGTAAAATTCAAAATAAACAAAAGTCATTCAAAATCTAATGATGGTAGTCAAATTTGGTATTTTTGACTTCTACAATAGAAACATTGTTATTTTGACAAAAGCAATGTGTTCACAATATTAAAATTACAACACAGGTCAAAAATATAGAGATTGGTGCAATTATCTAGTATCTTGATAAGCTACAGGTCAACATACATTATACACAAAATATTGACGTCATCATAATCAACCAAACATTAAAAAATCTAAAAATTAACTTCATGATCACTTAAAATTAAAAAAAAAAATCATATCATTCAATAATGTCCATTTTCTGCTGATCAAAAGATAACAAATTAGAGGGGAAATAAAATTCATTTTTTAGAATAAGTATAAATTAAAGACTCTTCAACATTTTTCCCAACAATAAAATTATTATAATTTAATTAAATTAAATCCAGACTTTCATTTACAGTCCAGTCAATTTTTTTTTCTCTCACAGACTGAAAATCCTAAAGAGGGGGCTTTTAGGGGCTTGGAACACTTATTGGCACCAAGATGGCAATTAGTATTATTTATTAATAAGATCTTATCTAAATGAGTGGACTGTTTGAGAGGTTTATTTCTGTGTCTTGCAGAGATCAAAAAGTTTTGGTAAATGTAATTAGTGTACCCAAGAAAAGACTCCAAATCTGTGACTCATTAATGAATATTGAAAAGGCCTGGATAATTTCCCATGCTATTGGAAAAAAAGAACTTCCATTTATTAATAATTGTTTATTGCAATTTAATTCAAGGGCTATAAATTATCTGAAAATGAAAGTTTACTGCAGATGAAATGATCAAATTTATTCATTGACATGCAGTTGAAGAATGCTATCTCCAACACTGATTTGTCAAAAACCTCAAATAATTGTTGATGTCAGTTGGTTATTCTAAATGGATAAGGAATGCCTTTTGTTTTAACTTCAAACCTAAGGAGCACTTGGACAACATTTTTTTTTTTGACATTTTGAAAAATGTTCAAGATTTGGATTCATCTTCTATTTATCTCCTGCCAATCCAAGGTTAGCACTGTCTATGACAGTGCACCAAAAAAAAAAAAATCATTTACAAACAGAAACTTCTAAAATTAATGTTTTTAAATATAACTAATTTATTATCAATCAGGAATTGTAAGTGTGCTTCTGAGATGCATGCACACATGAAAAAAAATTCAAATCCTTCATACCGATTCTAAATTTTAGCTCACCACTCTAATAATAAAATGGTCCTTATAATATATTCTGGCCAGGGAATCTTGGCGTAACTTTTAGAACTTCATAATTATTACGCAATAAATCTAGAACATCCCAGTTATGACACACCCATTTGTAGACAAGTCAGCATTCTTCTTTCACATGTCTACAGATTTTGGCTAATGTTGAAGAGTATGTGCATGTTTTCACGAAATGATACATGAACCAGATCACATACTGAATACCACAGTTATGCAAACTCATCTTTTCCTTAAATAAAATTTGTTTTTCAAAGAAATTTTTACACAAGTCTTTGACACCTTTGATAAAGAAATTTTGTGTTTATTGCAAGTTGCATCAACTAATATTACCGATTTGATTCTTAAATTGAGATTTTCAACTAACTTTGAAGTTCAAATATTAATTCCTGAATTCAATTAAATAATATATATTTTTTTTTACCTCAAGCTCAAATAGCAACATTTCCCTCAAAATATTGCTTGGAAGCTTCATGGTGCAAATTTCTCCATGAACAAATAAAAAAAAATCTCCACAAAAAAATTTAAAGCCAGCTGCAGAGAGCAAACATGAACAGTTAATTCATCTTTGAAAAAATGGCTACAAGGACTATTATTCTCAGATCAATATAAACGTGTTTCTTTTCCCTCAATGACTATGGCACATGCCAAATCTTGGTCCCTTTCATGGTTTCCTATTAATACATTCCTCAAAGTTCACTGAACGGATGTTTCTATCTCCAATGACAGGTGTGAATTTGAATTGATTCTCTTAAAAAAATCACAGCTTCCACGAAAAGTTTGAACTTCTTTGCCAATCACACAAAATATCCTTCATATGCAAGTGAATTCCATGCCCAACCATGAAAAAAGAAAAGATAGCACAAAACTTCGGATCCACTCCTGGTTTTTACGGCTGCAGGTGCTTGCCCTAGTGATGTCAGGTCAAATGACAAAGGCAAAACGAAAGAACAAAAGATTGGGAGACCACCGCGAAATTTCAGGGGAAACAGACTGCTGAAAATTCCTCTGATCTCTCTCCTCCTAAAGCATGATGGGAGAATTTATTCCCAGGCAATAACTGTCAGTTGCTATAAATAGATCTGCCGTAATACACCTTGCCAGCAATACACAATTTTATGTGAATTCCAAATTCTTTGTTGTGCTACAGGTGCATAAGGTAATTGATAAAATGGGCAGGTTTTGCTTTACATTAATTCAACCACATAAAAACTGTATATAAACATTTACAAAAATCCTTAATCAATTATTTCACTGAAAAAAAGGTTTCCTTTCACTCATGAACTTTTAAATGCTATCATTCATATTAAGAGGCACATTGATTGCATGTGTTTTTATGACCCTTAATTGAAGATTCAGGGGTTTCTGTTTGTCAATAAAACTTTTGAATGGTTGGTGGTAGCCTGGCTTTCAATAATGGTCATAAATTTTATTTAGCAGTTAGTTCTACGATTTCATATTTTACATGTGTATTTACCAAATTAACTTTTCCTTTGTGCCTGAATTCAAATCATTTTTGCTTTTTGCTAAAATGTGATAAAAGTACATTTATGTCATTCATACATGGAAACAAAATAAGTGATTTCCTAAGCATCACAGTAATGTGACAATAAACCTTCAGCTTTTTTTTAATTTAACAAAGCATCTTTATTTAAAATTCCCTCATTTTTGGATATTTTTGTCAATAGTATGGAAATTTCATCATAATGATGGACAAAGAGTTGACATAAGAATGACCTATTTATCTTTGAAAATGCTACATGCACTGACTCAAATCTGCAATTTGTCCAATGCATACACTTTGATCACAGCAGGCGTTGATCCAGGAATTGAAGTTAGGGGGGTGCAAGAAGTAGGCAGGGGGTCTGTGGGCCGCCTTGAGGTTCCCAGTGGGTCCAGGGCAAAGCCCTGGTGGGGGCCCAGAGGGCGAACCCCCCTGGAAGCTCCTGGATTCTAGACATTTTGAAGGGTAAAAATGAGGTTCATGAGTAGACATTTTTACATTTTCTCGACGAAACTGTGATTTACGCTAACTTTGACAATTTTAGAGGGGGCGCCCCCCTTAAATCCGCCACTGTACAGTATACGTCATTTATAATGTTTAGTCATTGAACAGCAGTATAACAAAGTCACTGATTACTAAAAATCCAGATTTGTTATACACCCAACAGATACAACATATGAACTTTTTCTTACATGGACATTAAGTAAATCACGAAATTCTAGTAAATTTATACTCTCTGAACCATAGCCTCCAATTATTATCTGTGATATTTTCTATAATGTCAGACTTTTCTTTACTATTAAATCTCTGTAACAATAGGCTTTGATAACGAGAAAAAGAAATTAATGGATGTTTAGCTAAAGTCATGTGGCAACGAAATCTTAATAAGAATAAGATATGTTACATTAATCGTTCACCATTCAAATGTCAGAAAGTAAAAAATCAACAGGATATTCCCCACCTTAAAATTATATTAACTTGTAAACGTGATATTTTTTCATTCAAATGTAAATGTATGTACGAAACTGAAACTGTGTGTTACATCACAACAATGTCATAAGAGCAAGACAGAGAGATTCAATCTCAATGTAAAGACCATTTTTCCAAAATCTAAAAAAATACAGTAAAACATGCTCATAGTGAACATGCTTATTAGAAATTGACACTTACCAGGGTTCGCCACATATAACATTAGTCCGTTAGTCTCAGACTAGTTCATTTTTTATTCGGACTAAAAAAGAATCTGTGGCTTATTAGTCCGAAGGGACTGATAAAAATCTCTGGAAAACAATATGATGTCGGATTCTCGAGAACTTTTACTG